ATCACATGAGATTCAAGTCATGACTCATGTCTATGTGACAATCCCATACGGGTCATCCAGTACTTCATTCCAAATCAGTATCCATGACTGTGATCCATGATCATCCCTATAATCATCTATCACATCTCATGCTAGTCTTAATATATTATCATTCCCACAATAATATATGACTAGGAAGTTTAGGATCGTTCACAGCGAACTAAGGATTTCCTTATTCATCAAATATGCAAGTAAAGCAACATAGAGCACCTAAACCAATAAACTTATCCATCTCAAGGATAGATTGCATCGACAAACTCGGTACATTACCAGTTGTCGTTATACTCTACAGAGATAGAAAAAACAAACAACACAATATGCAAAATCAATTAGTACACTACTACAACCTAGTACATTACTAACACAAACAACATGATGTAATATGAGTGGATTCCCACTGAGAAAAATAACCCTACTACTATTTTCTAAGTGAGTTAAGATCCATATTTCACATAATCTTGGATCGAGCTTATGATATTTAGGTAGATATCTAATGTCAATCACATCCAATGTGACTCTTAGATCCTTTATGACATAATGGTATCATCATACCATTACATATCTCTTATCACATCTATACCGTTAAATCCAAAATTTGATTAGTGTTTTTATAGGATAAAATTTACTATTTCTAGTTGTTTGGGAGGAGTCAAAATTTAATTTTTTTAATGTAGCCTTGGGGAAAATAAATTTTTGAAAAATTTATAAATGATTTTATCAATTTATATTATAAAACTATACATAGAAAATTATTGATCACAATGAATTATTAATTATTTTATAAATTAATTGATCATATTATATAATTAATTAATTATTAAGAAACCAAATAATTAATCGTTATATGAAAGAATTTATAAAACTTTATATGTAAATTTTATTACTAATATATTTATTAGATTAAGTTTAAATTTTTTTCGTGTAAATAACTATCAATAAAATTATATATGATAATATTTTGCATGATGAATATTTATTAATTTATATATGTTAGATAATATAACTGACCGTATATGGTGGCATTGTCGTCATTAGAAGTAAAATAATTCGGACGACATGGTCGTCGATAAGTAATAAAAAATCACTAAGTAAGACGGCATAGTCGTTCAATGTTATTAATTAAAGTGGTATAGTCGTCCAATAACAAATAAATAATTAAGGTAGCACGACCGTCCAGATTAATAATTAAGGCGACACAACCATACATGAACAATAAACGAGGTGGCATAACCGTCTATAAATTAATTATAATATTGTTATTCATATATAACTTGGAGTTAATTGCACTCAAGCATCAATGAATACATGTACATATCATAAGAACGAAAATATTAGTATTAAAGGTAAGTTATCTTACCTTTAATCGTAGAAGAACGCTCATGCTGATAACATGTTATGAAATCGGAAGAATATAGGGGTTGGGCATTTTTACCTGACACCCGCGGATCTTTGGGTACCCTATCTCGCGAGTATATGGGATTCGTTATCCGTGAGATAACGAGATAAAGATCGGGTTTCGTGAGACGAAAAACCTGAGTTTCGGGTTCGGGTTCGAGTTTGAGAATCTCACCACGGGTTATCTCGCGGGTACCGACTTAATTAAAAATTACAAAAATACCCTTTATACTTAAATACATTTAAAAAAAGACCTATAATATGACCTAACCCTAAACCACTCTAACTCAATCTTCATTTTTGCCTCCCTCTTGTTCCGCCTCTTTCCCAGATCTCTGCCATATCTCCTCTCCATCTCCAACTTGCTCTCTCTCACTCTCAGTTCGAAGCTTTCCGGCACCCCCAATGAGTTATTCACGCTTTTTTTGTTCGAGTGTTCCTCTCTGCAGAAGAAAAATCCATATCTTTGTCTATGTTCGGTCTCTCATCTGCCTTGCGAGTCTTCGACATCTCTGTCGCCGAAGGTTTCGGGTTCAAACCAGCCCGATTTTTTCGGGTCTAAGTAATTAAGCCCGAAGTCCGGTCCTTTATACACCGGTTTCGGGTCGGACTATTCACGTAGATGATCGGTGTGCATAATAACCGTATATATAAACTGTTCGGTTTCCTGGGATCTCATGAGCGAATCTAATTCCTAAGAGATCAGTTATAGGGTTTGCGCAGCGGATGTAAAACAAAAATTTTGATAAAACTCTAAAACCTATCATGCATGATCTTGTAGAAACGTTAGAACGCTTACCTCAATCGATCCGGAGCCTGTATCAATCGAAGAATTCGTCTGATCACGAAAGAGAGGAAGAATACCTCGCCCTCTACACGTATCCACACGACGGAAGGGATTCCAACGGTTGGAACTTGTCTACTAGGACTGAAGAACACGTTCTTCTTTGCGCAAGGGTTTCAGGGATCTAACTCTTAGGCTTTTTTACTCTCAAAACCTCTCAATAGAGTCTGAAATTCATGCCAGGAGGCTTAGGAGGCCTTCCCTAAAGTTAATCCCACTTAAAACCCTAATTAGAACGAGTTTAGGAAATCCCGAAGTCTGGACCGATCGGTCTGGAGCTTATTTTACGTCTGGACCGATCGGTCTGGAGCAATTTCCGGACCGAGTAACTATCACACGTTACCTTCGGACCGACTGGTCCACGTGTCTGGACCGGTCGGTCTGGCCTCCGCTCCACCGGGATTTTCTCGTCTCTTCTCGCGCATTTGTCCCTTCCTGTGTGTGTGACCCTGTAGGCTCATCCGATATAGCAGTATAACCCGAAATCTCTTATTTCGGTTACACAAGTCATAGACGGTCTCTAGCAAGACACTATGACCACCTATCTCGAACAGAGTTTGTTCATGATCCTACGAACGCCAGTGATGATTCCGGTTGATGATCCTTTTGTATCACGATATCATATTTCGAATATAAGGCATGTACAAGCCACCTTATCTGATTCGACTGCTTTCTCGTTCACTGAGTTTGACTGTCTGAAATAGACGACGTTCGCATATAGTGCGGCCACACATTTCTACAGTCTCGCTCACACGAGGGGTCCAGCGATATCTCTCTCTTTTAAGAGAGGTATAAATTCCGTCTTGACTATCTACAATCCAACACATGATTCGTTTCGTACCTAATACATGCCTTTATAGTCCTCCTGTTACGCAGGACGTTTGACGTAATCAAAGCATGCAACTCCTCATGTTGGATTCTGTAGATATCTCAGGTCTTAGGATCCAATCATGGAACCGCCATATGAGATTCAAG